GACATCCGATCCTCGCTCTCTCGGCTCGGCCACGACAGGTCCGGCGGCGGTATCTCGACGCCTGAGCCACGCGCGGCGCAGCGAGATCCGGTCGCTTCCACGAACGCGCCGCACATGCTCCGAGATTTTGAGCCGGAAGGTCGAGACCCCCGCACCTTCTCAACACTCCACTTCTCGGAACGCGAACAGCTGGGTTATGAATGAGCGTCAACAGGCTCTAATGAGTGCCCCAGGACAGTGAAGAGAACTCATTAGTCATGCGCTTCAATGGATTAAAGACACCTTTGATCGGATTATTGTACATGTTTACTTTGATTATTTCGATTCATTATTGTTTGATAAAATAAAACATCATACATTTGCATTATATACAAACCTTTCTTAGTAATCAAACAATTTAATTGCTAATGGCTATAATATTCAGAACATTAAGTGATTAGTTTTTTTCCAATACTGTAATTAAATGTGAGGTAAAAAAATATGGATTGTTGGTTTGCTATTGAATAATGACAGAAAACTAAATATCTAGTTCGAAATTGTGTCACCTATTGTTGTTGTTTTTTTCAGAACATAATGGATATCATTTAGAGTAGAGGAGTTTCTGGTGCATTAATTCACACTTATGCACTATTAATTGGAAACTACATAAAATCACAAATAATATTTTAACATTCATCAAAATATAAACACATTTACGATAAAATTTCATTTGCGTGACTTTGCCAGTGATTTATCTTGTACAGAATGAGGTAATCACAATTCGTGTTGCAGAAAACACGTGGATCGTTTTATTGACAGTCGATTTATTATTGAAATTTGCGGTGATTTGAGATTATGGAACACCCAAATAATGAAAGAAACAAACAAGAAAATTTTATTTCCTACACTATATGTAACAAACCGTTTTTGAAAAATAATCCCAGCGTCGTTATCCGAATTGCTTAATTACACACATGGAACATTGCTTAATTACACACAATTCGAGACATCGCGAACTCCATCCGAATTGTAACTCAATAGTTATTTTTGTTGAAGCTATTTCCATTAGGAATGGAAACGTATCGAAAAGTTGTGATCATTTACCTCGACAACAATCAATGAGATATTAAAAATAAATACGCTCGTAATCATATTTATAGCAACAATTTTACTTTGTTTTGTTTGGATTAGTGGCTGATTAGGTTGCTCTTAGCATTGCGCGAAGCAGTGAAATAAGGGGAAGTGCAAGATTTGAGCAGTTATTGAGAAGAGCAATCGTGGGGAAAAAAAAAATCGTCGGCGTGGCCGGATGCCGTACCTTGGGGTGCTCCTTGACGGGCACGAGCACGCGGATGGTGACCTTGATGGGCTTCTCCTTGATGATGTCGGCGAAGCGCTTCTCCTCGTGCGCGGCCCGAGCGGGCGCCGCCTTCCCGCCGTTCTGCAGCCGCTCCAGCTCTGCAACACACCACAGCGGCCAAATCAAATTAAGTAATACATCTGTGACGCAATGCATCTGATTACAATACGAGATTGGAAAATTGCCAAACGAGTCCCTTAGGACGAGTTTTATAACCAATTGAGTATTGTAGTCAGGTGTTACGACACGAATATCGTACAACGTTTTATCCATATTGTAAAAATTTGTTAGATTTAAGATTAAAATGTTCAAATAGAATTCATATTTTTTCCCTTTAAGTGGCCACACTGTTCTTAACAAGGAGAACTATTGACTCAGAAATAGAAATAACAACAAAAGCTGCTATAGGTTCTTTGTTACCATACAAATCAAAGAAGAAATATGAGCGTGAGTACTCAATTTATTTTCAATAGTAGACCATGGAATAGTGCTCGTCTCAGAATAACCCTACTCGTATGCCATTACCGCACTAGTGTGGTAATGAAGTTCATTACCACACTAGAGCGGTAAAGTACTTCATTACGAAACTGATTATAATAGCATAATGTTTCACATTACCTAACCAAAGTGGAAAAATAAATGTATTTATTGGTGGTCAGACTCATGCCATTGAGACAGTTTCAAAAGGTTTCAGGCTCACACCATCTCGATCAGGTTTTGTCCAGTTTCCCTGATCCATTGAGCAAATGCTGAGATGGTCCCTTGTTTTGCGTAAATGAAGCTTCACAATTCGCACGTTTTGTTGAACTCTCCTTTTGCCTTTAATGGTACGAGTAGAGGTAAGGGCGAGTTACTATTTTGTTAGCAAAGAAGAATCGTATTTGCAATTCGTTTACCAATTCAAATAAGTTTTCTATAACGCGGGAACGATGACTATTTTTTTCAAATATTGCTAATCTCACGCTTTTTTTTATTTTTTTGTTTATTCGTATTTATTTTAAACTTTTACTCACATTTTAACTATTTATAGTTAACATGACTGGAAGGGATTCTGGAACTCAAGAAAACGTGCGAAGGTAATCTTCACCCCCCTACGTCACATACAGTTTTTACTGTGTATTTTTTTTTTGACTAAATAAATCTAAATCAGGCGCGACAAACCTGCCTGCCCAAGCTACGTGCCCTGGTGCCCTGGTGGCCCGGCGCTCCTAAGACCACGGGACACTTCCCCTAACTCCGCTCTCATTTCCCCTTCGAATCCAGAAAAGGGTTTACATGCCCAAGCTGAAACGGTGTGATGTGGGGAATAATTGCTTAATAGGAAAATGTTTGCCAGATTTGTTCTATCAAACAGACGAGATTTGAAATATATTTACGAATTCCTTACTACGTATATTTCTTACTATTTCATATTTATTTTCGTAAATTCTGAATTATAAAACAAAAAAGTTCTGGCAATGGATAGGAATATATATTTTACCCGGGCTGAGACTTGAACAACTGCGATTAGACGATTTAAACGAGAACGTTGCCCTTATAATTCGTGAGCGTTTTTTACTCCAGTAATAATAGTAATAATAATAATAATAATAATAATAATAATAATTATTATTATTATTATTATTGATACGGGAATTATATCATTTATTTTGCCAAATTGTCATGACATAATTCTAATATACAAGAAAACTGTTGTATTTTGAAAGATTGGGTACGTGCATCAAGTTTGATGGGTTACTTGAAGTTGCTTTTCCTCGATATATTATATTTTATTATAATATATAACATTAAATAATCTGGTGATAAATGAAAGATCCATCATAATTTACTCTTCCAATTAAATGTTTTTGCAAAAATTTGGAAAGATTGTCTCTACAACTGCCTGCCGATAGACACACAACGAACTTTTAGACACAAACAGATTTTTTGTTATCTTTTGTATTCAAATTAGGACCAATTTGATTCTGCGCAATGATATTTATGTTGAAATTATCAAAGCGGAAATCGCCAAAAGTAGTACCTACGCTGGTCTTTTTTTATTGCAAATTTACATCTTCTGTTTAACTGAGAACTAGAAATCCGAAAATAAAAATACATCGTGATAACACTAGTGGTAAACACACTCCAAATAACAATATTTGAAATACATTTAAAATGTTTCATTGAAGTTACAAAATCGCACAGAGGTGCATGCAAAAGCCTATTGCTAGCTCCAGTGAAAGCAATGTTATTCGCACTCGGTTCCGCTCCGATCCGCTTCACATAGTAAACCGTTCCTCCGGAAAGTATTCGATTTTGGGCTTTGATACGTAAGTTGCTAGAGGACACTTTGGTACGCGTTAACATTCAGAATTTAACACTTTCCAGTGTTGAATATATAACCTACAACTACATTGAACAATTATTCATAAAGAACATTTGTTGTTATTATCAGACAATACTTGGATACTTTTTCTATCAATATTAAAAATGTCTTCACGATCTCCGTACAGTCCGTTTTACAGGGCTTATAAACAGAATATTTTGAGTTTTCTACGAGGCTAATTCGGCAACATAAGATTTATCTTAAATCACAAGAAAACTCGATTAGCAACAATGACCAAATATAAAAATTTGTTTACATGTGTATTTTGTGCTCTAAAGAGCGTTTTCTGCTCTGTAAACAAATATGATGTATAACATAAACAGCAATTCTATTGCAAGTTAGGTTTTTTCCTCCCCTATTTCTATTCCATAAGAATGTAAATACGTCACCAAATTCTATATCACGCGTAAAGCAACTCGCGTGTAGCACTTCGTAGTGCACGATCTCAACGCGTCGTAACTCCCCTGTGACGTATGGATCTCTCGAGGCACCGACCACAAACTTCGCGCGTAAACAAGAAGAAGAAAAAAGTGTATTCAAGCAACTGCGCGCAACGATATACACGGAGAGAAACTTCGGTAACGCAATGTTTTCGATGCGGCACTGCGCCCCCCCCCCCCATTCCGCGTTTCTTCAAACTGTTCCCGCCCCCTGGGGCTCAAGCAGGCCATGCGGCGAGCCCTGCACGTACCTCCTTGAGAGGCTAGAGTCGCGAAGAGGGCGCTTTCTTTAGAATGTTCTGCACGAAACCGAACGTCTCTCTACGACACCTCCCCAGGTGAGAACACTTCCACGCAGCCTTTCCTCGACGCCGCTAGAGCCAGCGCTGCGTAGTCCACCACCACGCCCCCCTCGCCGTCGCCCGAGAGCTGTGCGTTGGGTGAGAGAACATCCCACGAGCGTCTTAAGGGGCTCAAAGTCCCCTCAAAGAATTGGGCCTTTTGTTTTTCACGTTACCGTTGCTTATCATTCTGGGCCGTAAAACGGGTGCTGCGAAGTCCAGAACCATTTCATTTTGAAGTAGTTTTATATTTGAATAAATCGTATTTCATGTAATATCTAAGCCAAATTTGAATGTGGCATTCTTGATCAAACTGATCCTACAGCTAAAGGGCAGATTTCGGGGGAAAGCCTGCCCTCTATCACGCTCCTTCCGCTGTCTTTAGAAGAACGTCTCTTTTTGTCACAGAGTAAATGTAACTTTTTAAATTTAAATATTTGAATTAATGAATTAGATGAATCAATATTAAAACACCCATCCGAATGAAACGATAAGAATGTCGATGAAGTATCAATCATTTTTCATAATTTGTAATAACGTGCGCTCTCCGTGGCCCGTTTGTTAGAATACTCTCCGCTATTCGCTTGTTATTGATCGGAGAAACCACGGAAATCAGAGCAGCGAGCTGCTAGCTAGCATCCCCTAGCCAACCGCCAGCCAGAATTCAACTCAGACTCATAGTAGCTACTTTCGACCATCCTGCAACCGTCGGAAATCGAACCCTAGGGCCTCCCGGTCCTAGGCACTGCAGTGACAACAGTCTGTTCCCTGAGGAACCTTAATCTGTTCACCTGCCGTGGAGCTCGAGTGAAACCATCTCGGGTATGACATTGGTTTGAATAAAAAGAGCACTTGCGCCAAATGATTTAGGACATGAGTCTCTACCTGAACAAATAGCTTTATAGTTTTGGGAGTCAGTTTTGAGAAAATCCATTTTGTCATTTTAGAATACTGCCACGCATGGAACTGCTGCCTAGAATACAAATGCCACGTGGAAGGGTCTGTAAATTGGCAAGGGATACTGTAGGCTAATGGGAGAACTCGATGAAATACAGCAAAAACTCATAACGCATCCTTTGATTCTTGTCAATCCATCACAATGATCCTCTCACAATCGCTAAGACACTTTCAATAAAATTCGTCACAAATAAGAAGATGATATTAGAAATTCTCCCAAGGAGGAATTTCAACAAAAAGAAAACAATTTAATTTTTAACACTAAATGAGCATTATATATAAAATAAATACATTTCTCAAATACTTCTTTTATTTCTCTCATAATCATACAAGAAACCATTAGTATGTTTTCTTACTAGTTCCTCATCCCGCCGTGACAATACTACACTTGCAGACGTAAGAGATAAAGACAAGTACAGCTTGGAGGTGAGGGAATCCTTCATTTAAATGTAACTTTTCCCCCTGCAATTCCATTCATCCGTCACCGCAGAGCCAGGCGCCGCGGGCAAGGCGGCGTGAGGGGAAGGGGTGGTGCCAGGCCGTGCGACCCACGCGTGCCGATACAGCACGTGGGAGGCGACGCTCACGGAAGCGCTTTGTCGCTTCCCACGCACGCAACGCTCGCAGGCGCACGCTTTTCCACGGCACGCGACCCTCAACCGCCCCCCCCCCCGCCGACGGCGCACCGGGGAAACGACAAAGGGGGCGTCTGTGCGGCGGCAGCGCGGGTGCAAGGCGGGGGCGGCGGCATGGTGGTGGTAGCGATGGCTTTAGCAGCGGCAGGCGGGGCGCGGTGGCGGCGGCGGCAGCAGCGGTGGGGTGGTGGTGGTGGTGGTGCGGTGGTGGTGGTGGTGGTGGTGCTGGTGCTGTGCGGGTGGCGGTGGGCGGTGGCGGTGTGCGGTGACGGCGGTGCATGGCTTTGGCGGTGGGCGGCAGCGGGGAGGGTGGTGGTGGGGCGATATATGATTTGCGGCGGCTGGGGGCAGGGGCGGCAGGCGGAGGCGGGGGCGGGCGGCGGAGGCGGAGGGCGGAAGGGGTGGCGGTGGGGCGTGG